CGGAGTATGTTTATGAGTTCATTTGCATGTTCGGTTTGGAGCCCCGAGGGCTTGAGTGAGTTTTGAGTGGGTCCCGGAAGGTCTTAGGCTTAGCAACATTCTGAAGTTGCAGGTTCAGGGGTTGCAGGCCCCCAGCGGGCCCGCTGTCAATTCCGCGCGGTCAGCGCTGGAAGCCGCGCGGCCGCGGTACATTTCTGTGCAGTCCGCGTGGCTTGGGCTCAGAGGGCTAAGGGGTAAGTCGACCAGCGCAGCCGCGCACCAAATCAGTGCGGTCCGCGCTGGGTAGGTTCAGAGAGTCACTTTTTCTTCCGTTCCTTGGCGCGGCCGCGGTGCACTTTTGTGCGGTCCGCGGTGAGCCTTCAGTAAGTATAAAAGGTCGGGATTTTCAGTCATTTCTCACTTTTTCAAAACCCAAAACACAATAGGCGATTTTCCAAACGATTCTTCTTCTCCAAAATGATTGGTGAGTGATTTCTAACTCATTTTCTTTACTCCTTAACATCTTTAAACATAATTTCAAACTTCAAAACAAAGATTTTAATGGGAAAATTGGGAATTTAGGGTAGAACCTAGGTTTTCTAAAATTAGGGGTTTTGGACCTCAATTCGAGGTCCGATTCCAAAATAACTTACATATTTGAGTTCATGGGAGAATGGGTAATCGGGTTTTTGTTCAAACCTCGGGTTTTGACCGTGTGGGCCCGGGGGCATTTTTGACCTTTTGGGGTAAATTGATGAAAAAGCTATAATTAGTCATTCAGTTTGATTTGTTTAGCACATATTGATATCATGAAGTCCTTATTGCATAGATTTGGTTGAGTTGGAGCCGAATTCGAGAGGGAAAGCGATTGTGGAGGATTGTATTGGCCGTGAAAGTCGAGGTAAGTGTTTGGTCTAATTTTGGCTTGAGGGAATAGGAGTAGAGTCTTATTTGCTACTTGCTAATTGTCGAGTACGATGTATAGGCATGGTGACGAGTATCTATACATTGGTGTCTAGCATGACCGTGGGTCTTATATTGTGATTTCCATGACTCCGTTGTATTATTCATGCCTTGGTGATTATTTCTATTTGTTGTGCAATGATGTGGAATGAATCGTGACTTTTGGATATTGAGGAGCGTTGGCTCCAGTTGTATAGCGAATTGCGAAAGTATAAGTGATAATTGGACCTCTAGAGCATTGGCTCGAGTTGTGAAGTGAATTGTGAAGTAAAAGTGAGGAGAGAAAAGATCATTATGTTGTCCCTTGGCGCGCCATTGTCGAATTGTGGTTTCCTTGTACTATGTTCTTAATTGATATTACGGACGCTTAGGTTAATGCTTCCTTGTGTTGAGTGATGACTATAGTTATAGCTGAGGTAGTTAAGTGTTGTCATAGGTTGGTTATAGCTGAGGTAGTTAAGTGTTGTAATAGGTTGGTTATAGCTGAGGTAGTTAGGTGTAGCAACAAGTTTGATTATAGTTGTGGTAGTTAGATGTTGTAATAGGATTGTTCAAAGTTGTGGTAGATAGGTGTCGTAACTGGATTGATTATAGTTGTGGCAGTTAGATGTTGCAACAGGATCGGTTGTAGCTGCGGTAGTTAGATGTTGGGACCAGTGCGGTTATAGATGTTTCTCCCTTGCCGGGACATTTGATTTGACATTTTGTTCCCTTGCCGGGAAGTTATACATTGTTGTCCCCCAGCCGGGATTATTTTGTTATATTGTGATTGATGAAATGGGAGCGCGTGGTACGCCTACCACGTAGTATTATGAAATGGGATCATGTGGCACGCCGCAACAATGATATTTGAGGATCGGGTTGCACGCCACGACAAAGATATTTGAGGATCGGGTTGCACGCCGCAACAATGATATTTGAGGATCGGGTTGCACGCCGCAACAATGATTTTTATGGATCGGGTTGCACGCCGCAACAATGATATACATGGGTCGGGTTGCGCGCCGCAACAGTGTTGTTATATATTAGGATCGGGTTGCGCGCCGCAACAGATGATGATTCAAGTGTGTTTATTTTGGATATTCGTTTCTTGGTTCGCTGTAAATTCTTGGGCTGCTTCTATCTTTATATTGAGGTTTCCTATTTTTAACTGTTGCCTCCCCACAGCATGTCCCTCCCTTCCTTATTGACTGTTTATTTTCCTGTATTTCTTTCCGTTGTATATATGTATAGTTGAACTGCACAGGTTTATCTGGTAGTCTGGTCCTAGCCTCGTCACTACTTTGCCGAGGTTAGGCTAGGCACTTACCAGCACATGGGGTCGGTTGTGCTGATACTACACTCAGTGCTCTTTTGCACAGATCCAGGTATTGGACAACATCAGTAGCTGGAGGGCTTCCTTCAGTCCACCCGGAGACCCAAGGTAGACCTGCAGGCGTTCGCGGGCCCTGGCGTCTCCCTCTATCTTCATTCACTGTTTCATTATCTTTTGTTCAGAGACAGTTTATTGTATTTTTCTTCAGACCTTGTATGTAGTAGATCTTAGATAGTCTGTGACACTGTGATACCAGTTCTTGGGTAGAGGCTTATGTTTTACTTCCACATTTTTTTATCTAGTTTCTTTAGTTTAAGACTTCCGCTAATTTATTAAATTCCGTCGTTTGCATGTGATTGCTGATATTTGTTGAAAGAGGTAATGCGTTAATGAAAAAGGTAACTAAGGTTTGGCTTGTCTAGCTCCCACTAGTAGGCGCCATCACGACCCCCGAGGGTAGAAATCCCGGGTCGTGACAAAAACTTTTTAATGGTTGTTAATGGTGGAGGGGTAACGGATTTTCGCTAGTTTTAGAAGAGGAAAACGTGGGTGTTTGAAGAGGAAATCGTGGGGATTTGGAGAGAGAAACTTGGGGGAGTGAGAATATACGGTTGAGTAAAATTAGGAGACTAATTAATACCATTAAAATCATAAATGATAATTAGGTATATAGAAGGTAATTATATTAAAAGTTAAACATGGAGGGTAATATAGTTTACTATATGGCATAGGAATGTAAAAATTCCTATGCAAAATACAAGATAAATCCCAACCAATTAAGGCAGTCCAGCCCAATTGTCAAGAATATGCATTAGTGACATTATTATTGTCAGGGGCGGATCCAGCTTTAAGGTTATGGGTTTCTGTGAACCCAATAACTTTTGCTCAAACTCTGTATTTGTATTAAGAAATTCACGAAATATCTATAAATACTTGACTAGGAACCCAATTATTATTTGCATATATAACTCGAGGTCGTCGTAGGAACCCATAAACTTTAAATCCTGTATCCGCCTCTGATTATTGTGATATTTGTCTTACAAAATTCATGTTCATACATAGGTCAAGAATTAAGAATTGGCTTTGATTTAGACTTGTAACTATCCAATCTAATTCAATCCAAATGATGCCATTTTTTGCCATTAAGCTGTCTCCAGAAAATGAAAATGATATATGGGCAAAAGATGGTAAAAATAATTTAATCTATTTCACACCTCTCTTATAGCATAATATAGTTAATGTTTTCGAATCTTTACTATATTATGCAACGGATTCTCAATGAGATAAAAAGATGGAGATAGGAAATTTTAAGTCAATGCATGTTGTGTACCTTGTGTTCAGACTATCATTTACTAATTTCACTTAATAGCAATGTGTATAAACTTATTATAATTTATAGGTAAATTTTGATTTTAAAACAGTTTAGCTACACCGAGGGCGGAGCTAAAGGGACGGAAGGGGTTCATTCGAGCCATCTTTGCCAGAAAATTATATTGTATATATAAGATAAAAAAATATAGTAGTTCAAATTGATTTTAAATTTATGTGTTCTGAATTTTAGAAGGACGACTTCAAGTGCTAATAACTGAATTTTAAATCTAACTAGTTTTAGGGTACGCGCTTTACGCGTGTATCCCTTATTAATAAGTATAAATTTTTAAAAATTATAAAAATATTTTACGTATAACTGACGCGCAATTGTTAAATGTCATTTTGAAAGTATCTCTAGAATTTGATGTTGAGTTAATGGTTATAATAATTATAAATATTGAGATAATTATCTAATTATAATGTTTTTAGAATGTGTATTTGTATATAATACATAATTTTGTAGAATGCCAAAATCAAAATTATATAGCTTGAGTTTTATACCCTTTTGTTGTTATGAAGCCCTTCACTGTTTTAATATAGTTCCCTTTTTTCTTCCTACACCTGAAACTAAATAGAGCTAAAAGTGACGAAAATTTCATTTACAAAAAAAAAAAAAAAAAAAAAAACCTAAATCTAAAAACTGTATAAAGTGGTCGAAACTTCCCTAATATAAATTGAAAATACTTGAAATTTAGTACTCGTAAAGTTGAATGGAGTTGAAAATAAAGACTTCTAAAATTAAAAAGAATTGAAAAATCAAAGTTCTAAAAGTAGAAAAATAATTAAACGGCTAATCCTAAATATTAGAGAATTAATTAAAAACTATTTCTAAATATATTAAAAATAACTAAATGACTATTTTGTCTAGCATAAATTGTACTTTTAAAGGGTAAGAAAAGCGCAAACAACATTTCGTTAAGAGCTTTCGTATTTTTAATATATACATATATATATATATATATATATATATATTACTTAATTTTTAGCACAAATTAATATTTGAACAAAAGCTACCGATTTCTGCCAAACTCATATTCGGGCTTCTAGCCGCCCAAATTGTGGTAGTATTATAATTCCAACATATCAATTCATATATTCCATCAATTTTACAATGTTGCTACTTGCTATTATTAACCTCGTAAGGCCGTAATAATCACTGTATTATGGTAAAGTTTGACGGTAAAAAAGAGGACCCTAACGGATGTAATGTTTATTATTCATATTAGGAATATGTTCACTATATACGTGTCACTACAACAAGCAAACCCACAGTAGAAAGAAAATGCATGGTTCTGAGTTTCCACTTTTTTAATTTATAAGCTTTACCATTTCTCTCAAAATTCAGAAATTAAAGAACCCCTCACCATTTTTACGAAAGCTCTCACCTTAGTACAAAACCAAAGCAATTTTTCTATCTCTCTCTCTGTATAGCAAAAGTAAATTATGGGGAGTATATAAAATACTACTAACAAAAAGGAAGTGTATATAAAATACAAACCAAAAACTTTCGGTCAGTTCCGGTCCCCTTTTCTTCATATATATCAGGATTCTGCAGAAAACTCCATTGCCTGTTTCTCCTTTCTGCTTTTTTCTCTCTACAAAAACCCACCGCGTTTCTGTCCTTTTTGCTAGATTCAGGACGCGTACTACCACTTCTGCATTTCCATTCTATATAGTAATAATATATTCACTATCTTTCTCACACCCTCCACCAAAGAGCATTTTCACATTTTATATTTACATTAATTTGTTTTTCAAAATAATTTTGTGTTTGCTTGTTGTTGAGTTTTGGGGTCAAATGAGAGGGTTACCGGGGCATGAACGCCGGTGGACATCCGATACGTTATCTTTCGACAAGGATTTTAGTGGTGAGTCATCGCCGGGAGCTGGTTCCGGCGATAATTCCGGTTTTGCTTCCGAGGAGTTTGTTGAAGTCACGCTTGATCTTCAGGATGATGATACGATTATTCTACGGAGCGTTGAACCGGCTACTGTGATTAACATTGACGCTCCTGATCTTCCCGCCGGAGTCGGTATTTCCGGAGTTTCAATTGAAACTCCGACGTCAGCATCGGTGTCGGAATCTCGATCGCCGACGATCCGCCGGAGTTCATCGAGTAAACTTCGCCAGTTTTCACAGGAGTTGAAAGCTGAGGCGGTCGCGAAAGCGAGGCAGTTTTCGCAAGAGCTGAAAGCGGAGTTGAGGAGATTCTCATGGAGCCACGGACATGCGCCTCGTGCGTTTTCGCCGTCGTCGTTTTTTCAAAACGCCGTCGTTGGAACAGGTAACGTCGTGGACTCGGCTTTAGCAGCACGTGCATTACGTCGGCAACGCGCTCAGCTTGATCGGACTCGTTCTAGTGCTCATAGAGCTCTTCGCGGACTCAAATTCATCAGCAATAACAAAACCAATGGATGGAATGAAGTTGAAAACAATTTCTCAAAGCTTGTTAAAGACGGTTATCTTTACCGTTCTGATTTCGCACAATGCATAGGTTAGTACTAACATCTTAAATCACAAGTACAATTATCACCAGTTCAAGTCGTAAAAATAGAAAGTAATGTAAAATCCTTTAATAATTTAATTTGTTACGAGTTTTATTGATACTTACATTAACTTTGATTTTGGTTAATTATATGGATGAAGGTATGAAGGATTCAAAGGAATTTGCATTGGAATTATTTGATGCTTTGAGTAGAAGAAGAAGATTGAAGGTTGATAAGATTAGCAAGGAAGAGTTGTACGAGTACTGGTCGCAAATCACCGATCAGAGTTTTGATTCTCGGCTTCAGATCTTCTTCGACATGTACGCACCATTAACTTGATTAATTAGTATTAAATAGAATTATCTTAAGTTAAATTTGAGAGCCAAATTTACTGTTTGTTTCCATGTGGAACACTCGTCCACTGCATGATAACTGACAGAAAATTATTGAAATATTTAAATGGCACATCATTATCTAGTACAGACTACAGTAATTAAAATAGACTCCTAACTTCTGCAAAGAGCTAATAGTGCTTTGATTTTACAGCACGTAACAAACTTTATGGTTTTCATTATATGGTACAGGGTGGACAAGAATGAAGATGGTCGAATTGCTGAAGAGGAAGTAAAAGAGGTAAATATTTGTATATTCTTTTTCTTTTTCAGAAGAATTAACCTAAATAGTCGTCCATCTAACTTAAACTAAAATAGATGGCAAATATATACTTTAAATATAATCAATATATAATATATATATATATATA